GCTACCAGAGCTCCTTGGAGTTTTGATTAGGCTAAGGTAATATGTTTGCTGCATCTTTGTATACCTTTGATTATCTCTAAAAGGGTCTTTCTCGTTTTAGGGGAGTCTTTTAATTAACCCAAAACACAGTTGCTAGCATTATTAACTAATTAATGTATGAAAATTTATGTATTTTTATATGCTTAAAATAACATGTCATTTATACAGTATTGTGAGTTTTTAGTTCTCCACAAACCTTTGAAGAGCACCTAATTTTGACCTTTAACTATAAATTAGGAATTGAGGTCCCTAAGAGAGGCATATAACAACATGATTACCTGGAGCATGTTGAGTGAATAAAATGGGTATTGATGGAGTTGATGACAGAGCTGGGAGTAGCAATCCAGCCTTTGACTCAGAGCGTGTTTTCCCTTCAGTTGCCTCTCTACCAGTATATGGAGAGAATGATAACTGGACTTACAGCAGTCCAAGAGAAATCAAACAGGGAAATAACTCAAGCTGCTTTTCTAACATTATATTTGGAATTTTTACAGCTGAAGGCAGGTACAATCTTTCCACACCAGATGGCAAACATATCTTCAAGGAAAGAGAATCATTTGATGGCCGGAACATTTTAAAGGTCAGTGTGAAGCAGAGGGAATTGGAAATCCTTTGGCATGTGTCCTGAATAAGGGAAGAAAGCAGATCATCTTCATTCTAACAACAGAATATGTTTTCTTCGTTTTTCCCCTGAGGATTACTGATTGAAAGGCCTGTTGAACTTTTTTAACGTTCAAAGAGAAAAGAAAAATCTTCTTGAATCTGTTATAACCATGGCCCTCTGATTTGGCTGGTTGTTAAATGCCATTGAGTTGGTTCAGACTCATAGCAATCCAGTATAGAGTTTCCCAGGATTTGCTGATGGGTTTAAACCACAAGCCTTGGGGTTAGCAGTCCAGTGCTTATCCTACAATGCCACACCAGGACACTAGAACACTTTAAATTGATGATTTAAGAAACAGTTGTGTTGTTGAGTGTTGTCAAGTCAGTTCTGACTCATAGTCACCCTGAATAGGGTTTCCTAGGAGTGGCTGGTGAGTGTGAACCACTGACCTTGAAGTTCAAATTGACCTTGTGGTCCAGTGTTTATCCTTCCAGCAACATACTAGGACTCTAGTGGATCTGAGGATGTCAAACCCACCAGCTGCTCCTCAGAAACCCTATACAGGGTTTCTATGAGTTGGAACCGACTTGATAGCACTTAACAACAACATAGGAATTAGATGATTTTACCCTGGTCAGTTTGATTTTCTAGTTTACCTCTAGGAGGTTGAGTTTGCATTTTTTTCAAGTGAAAATAAATTGTTTTAGGGATTTTTCTTTTCACTCACAAAGTCACACTCCAAAGTTGCTTAATCATCTATTTTTACTCACAACAGCTCATGTCCTAAATAGTGGGTGGCCCATTTCTGACACATGAGGTTTTGCTTTTCTGACTGTTGAATTAATCTTTGAAGTGTAACTAAATGGGTTTTTTGGGCTGTTTATCTTTCTCGTACAGACCATAGTCTGTGGTATCTGAAAGGCACGCAGCCTTTATCAGGTTACCATGCCATTGTGCCTCTGAGCAAAGAGAAACAAGTTGATAACTTTGGAGAGATTTTTGAGCCCTCATCAAACATTTTCAAGGCCAGGAGTGTATTGGAGCAGGGAGAGAGTCTGAATGTAGTAACGTAGAATAAGCTGCAGCTTCTTTCTCTTCCCTGGCCTCCATTCCTTAACCTGTCACTGGACAGTTTTCTTACCAAATGCTTAATGTGACCCCATTGCCTCTAATGACTGCCATCAACATCGGCACCCGTGAGCGCTTCACCCAAAGCCCCGCCTGAAGGTGGCAACCATTCACTGGGGCAGACATTCCAGCTCCTGCATTGCAGAGCTGTGTTGGTTCCTCCTTTTCTCTGATATGAAGTGATTTTTCTTGTTTTCAAAGTAGTTTTGATAGCTTTGGATTTGAGTGGCAGGCTGCTACTGACTTCAGTTGCAACGAACTTTGCTCATTTTCCCAGAGCCACAGCTTCAATGTCATATGAATATGTTTCACTTTCTCCTCCTCCACCTCCTCTCCTGGAGCTTTTCTAATAATATCATTAATGAGTTTGCTTTTTTGTCACTGTTGCTTTGATTTAGAAAGACAGTAGTGTGAATAGGGGAAGAAATCCAAAGGAATGACTCAAAGCCAATTTGATTCTCTTGGAATTAGAATTAAAGTCCAAAAGGTGTGTTGGTCCAACTCAGATGTGTTGTGCTCTGTCTTCTGTAACAGAAAGCCTGTGGGGCAGCTGTCTGGAAAGCAGGACCTCTCACTTGGTATTTGTTTTTTCTGGAATATCAGTTTTCCATTTCAAAATGCTTTGCCTTAAGGTCCTCTGAACCACCCCAAGATGGCATGAATATACCTCCCTCTAGTGTTGGCAGGAGATTGCTGCATCAGTAGTACCCAAACTGTTATTTGTCTGCTCAGTTTTAGACTGGGCCCAGCAAGGTTCATAGAGACCAGTTAGTGTCAGCAAGGCACTTGGAGACAGTTTAATTCAGTTCCCTACTTTAGTTATTAAGGAATCAAGATCCAAGATGGTTAGTAATTCACCACAGGTTACCCAAGTAGTAGCAAAGTCTGAATCAGAGCAAAAAGACTCACAACTTTTGTTTTTACTGTCTTCCATAAAGGAGCCCTGGTGTGGCACTGTGGGCTAATGCGTCAGACTGCAAAGTTTGAACTGCAAGGTCGGTGATTCAAGCTCACCAGGTACTCCTTGGAAACCCTATACAGGGTCGCTGTGGGTCAGAATCAACTGAACAGCACTTAACAATAAATAAAGATGTGCTGTAGGATCAGCACTGGACTGCGAACAACAAGATCAGCAGTTCAAACCCACCAGCTGCTCTTTGGAAACCCTACACAGGATCACTGTGAGTTGGAACCAACTCGATGGCACTTAACAACAACAACAACGTTTAGGTAGAGTTCATTAAATGTTTGAAACTGGGCATATCTGTCTGGACTTGCATGCAGTTGTTGTTGTTAAGTGCCTTCAAGTCAGTTCCAACTCATAGCGACCCTGTATAGGATTTCTGAGGAATGGCTGGTGGGTTTGATCTGCGGACCTTGTGGTTCATAATCCAATGCTGATCCTATAATGCCACACCAGGGACATGTATAATATCTAATTAAAACTCATTTCATAAATGTTAGGGCAATTGGAGCAGCAGTTAGATTGAAACTGCTCATTAAGAATTAGACTTTTGAGTTGAATGTAACTAACAGCAACAGAAATACTTATTAACTGTGGACCACCTGCCAGGCCAGGCATCCTAGAGATAAACAGCCACCATGCTGCCATTCCTGCTTTTCAGGGCAGTTACAATACAAAGTGAAGGGGCTGAGTTAGGACTGTAAAGGAGAATGCCTCTCAACCTAGATGATGATAGCAAAGTGCTCTTTGGTATAGTTCCCTTTGTTTTACACCTTAATCATTAGCTTCAGAAAATACCATCTTTTGCCTCTTTTCAGTCAAGGGAATGAATTTTTCTTTGAGAAGTTAAGTTAGGGTATTGTTATTGTTAAATGCCATCAAGTTGGTTCTGACCCATAGCGACCCTATGTAGTGTTTCCAGGAAGCGGCTGGTGAGCTTGAACCATTGACCTTGTGGTTCAAACTGACTTTGCAGTTAAGCGCATTAGCCCACAGTGCCACACCAGGACTCCAAGTTAACCTATGGCCTTCAACAATTGCCCCATACTCACAAGCGATAAAAACTATATATTTGTGAAGCAGCTTTAGTCAGCCCACCTTTTGGAATGACCACCAATGGATACATTTTACTTAGTCAGAATATGAGAGAACCCATGGTTTTTGACATAAAAACCTATTGAGAAAATTAGTAGATTATATGTAGGTTTTTTTTTTTTCCCCCCTCTTCTTTTTACTCCTGGTTGAGCTCTGATCATCCAGTCACTGAAGCCAGGATAAGTGGGTATTAAGTGTGGGTGTTCTTATGCATATGCCCTGTCTTCTTATCAGCTGGACGCTTCACTCTCCACTCTAGTTCTCTGTGGCTATGTCACTGACTCTGGGCCCAAGAGTTCCCAGGTCTTGCCACACTGCTGGTCAACCAGGTCTTCACCCGGGTTCACAGAAGTCTATTGAACATTGTAGGGCTTAGCTCGTCACCTCATTGCTGTTTTTCCCTCACTTCCCTTTTTTGGCGATGAGCATGGTGACCAATCAGAGCGTGTATTCCCATTGAGTCTTAGTCTTGGAAGGGGTTTGCATTGAGGGGACCCGACCACTTGCCTTGATGTTTCCTGGGCAAGCAAGTTGCTTGTTCTTGTAGTAACAGTCGGTCTGCCTATGTTGTTTTATATTTTTCCTGTAGGTCTTTCTTTCAAGAATTATCTTCTGTTCTTCTAGCCACTCCAGGCTGGTCTGCTTGTCCTTTCAAGTGGGAATTTCCTATCTCTGGAGATCTGGATGTGGTTCAGGCTTCCACCTATAGTCTTTTGTATTGCAGAGGCCCCGCAGGAAGCCTCCTTCACTGGGCACGTTGTAGTCCCATTTTAGGTATTCCAATCAGTTACAGGCAGAAGATAGACTTACAAAGGAAAACCAAGATTCAAAAGACAGCCAAGCATCTTAACATTATTCCCCCCTTTTCCCCATTCCAACCATGGCTCAGTCTCTGTATCCCAGAACCCTGTTGTTCCCAGGTTGTGCCTATATCATTATTTACCTCTGTCTCACTTAGCCCATTGAGACCTGTCTAATTGTTCTCCCATCTGCTTTGTTCTTCCTATATGTAGTTTTTGTACTAAATAAAATTATGTTCAGAAAGAAAAAAATCAGTTTCACTAACAAGTTAGGAACTGACTTGAAGTAACTAGAAAGGTTAAATGTATTGTTTGCTAGGGAGTCAAAGCATCTGTGTGTGCATATTAATAGCTACGTGGGTCAAGGGTCAGGAATGCTGGTGATGGGGAGGAGTGTGAGGGAGGAAAAAAAAGCATCTCATCTGTTTAAAGAAACAAAAGGAGAAAGTCACTGCTCGTTGCTGTGAGAATTTAATGAGTAACAGCCAATTGCTATTCTGTTCCATGAAGACAATTAGTTTTTTTTGGCTCTTTGTTGTAATATTTTGTGTTCTAGATCCCTTAATAAAGAAAAAAAAAGTCTCTAATGACTTGGAGTTGGAAGCCACTTTTTCTTTTGTACATCCCTTTTGAAAGTTGTTACAGCTGTAATAGACTAGTGTTTGGTAATTCCTAGTTAAAATAAGAATTTTGTTACCCTAAAAAGGACTTTGAAGGAAGAACTGACAAGTAAAGGATCATTTCAAGCCAGAAAAGGAACTAAGCCATGGTAGGTTTTTTTTGCTTTTTGCTTTTTTTAAAATGGAAAACTGACAGCTTTGATAGGCAAGATCCAGACCAAATTAATAGGATACCATCCCCTTAGAGAGTTTCCATTTCCAATCTAAGAGAGAGCAGCGGAGAGACTATTTGTATATCCATACGGCAGTGATAAACTTCTAATCGGAGAAATCATGCTGATCTAGAGATCTCCCACTAGGAAGTAATTG